GGGAGAAAGCGAAAACAGAGCAGAGGCAAAAACAAAAAACAAAAAAAAAAAAAAAAAAAAAAAAAAAAAAAGAGAGATAAGAAAAACAAAGGAGAACGAGAGAAAATAGAAGAGAGGATAGAAAGAAAGAAAAAAAAAGAGAAGAGAGTGTGAGGTTCAGCCGAGAGGAGTGAGAGTGATCTGAATCGTGGAGGAGACAAAAAACCGAGCAAGATTAACTCAGATCTAGGCTCGGGATTGGAGGATAAAATAATGTTTGAAGCTTGCTGGAAGTTTGGTTGAGGTGAATGGTGAGTGGAATATTATTAAACTTGCATTTAAAATCATGTGTTGGTTGGAATGATCATATGCGTGTGCATACCCGATTGATTGAGGTTTTATTTTAGTTCTTTAGTTTTGAATTTCTAATAAATTGAAGATCTCCGTGACATGCATGTGTTTGGAATTGAGAGTATGAAATTATGTTTATGGAAAATATTGGGTAGATTGCTATTAAAAAGAGGTACTTATGCGTTGCATGTTACTTATAATTAGGTATGGCTTTTACATGAATTGAATGACGTTGGAAATGTTTATTGTAAGAATTGTGGCCGGGATTTTTTAGTTAAGCTGATGCATAACTAATTTGTACTTATTTTGCTTCGGTTGAGTGGCTTGAAGAGTGTTGGGTTGTGATTTATTGTTGGGAAATTGTTTGGAGTATAATGCTTTGCTAAATCCCACTTTGCATGTTTCCGCTGAATTAATTGTTGGATGATTTTGCGCTAGATTTGGTTCTAAAGTATGTGATTACATGCTGCATGCTACATGTATATTTATATACTGTTCACATGGAATTAAATGATGGTGAAAATGCTTGTAAGAGGTGTTGGTTGTGTTTGGCTGCTGGGATCTTTTTGTAAGCATGAAATTTTGCTAGTTTATGCTGCTGTATGTTGAATTTGAGTTTAAAAATTTGCTATATGGTGTTTGGCTGGATATATTTGTGAAAATGTATGGTTATGGGGTTGCTTTACTATGACCGAATGCATAAAAAGTAGGCAAAGTGAACATGAAATGGAGGTGGTTTATTTTGCTGCATGTGGCTTCTATTCATGATTTATTTGGGTTTTCAATTGTGATGCTTGCTGGCTGCATTTTTGGCCAATTAAAGCAAATGGAGGCTGGGATTACATGCGTTTTGTGGCTGCATTTTTGGCCAATTTATTCATGTAATGGTGGCTGGATTCATATGTGTTTATGGCTGCATTTTTGGTCGATTTATGCATGCGATTGTGGCTGGAATGTTTTTGAGTAAATATGTTGTTTTGTGTTTTCAAATTCTCGAATTTAAGGCAATTTGAGTGGAAATTGTATTGAGTTCTTGAATATTGCATTTTAAATATTCGGTGGCCCCTTTTTATTTCCATGAGATGCACATTTTCGCATGCAAAATGTAATTTATTACTCCTTGATATATATATATTTGATTATATTATCTGCATATGTGATCAAATTAGAGTTTGACATGTTATATGTAGTGTTAATTGATGGATATAAGACTTGGGTTTTGGATTTAATTAAATTGGGTGTTAATGATAAAAAGGTTATAAACAATTTATTAATTGCTTTGTTTGATATTCGGTCAAATAGTTGAAAGAGAATGCATTGAATATTTCCATTAACATATTATTCCCTTTTCTAAAAGTTGTTTGAACGTTAATGTAAAATAGTGAGATGAAGTTTTTACTAGATTTTTCTTCATATGAGACAAAGTTCTAAATTTCATTTGCTTTAAAGAAATTGCCTTACAATAATTACTTAGCAGAATGAATGTGTGAGAGTGGACTGGGAGTCATGATCTGAAAATATTTGTAAAGTTGGGCTGCTTTGAAAGTTTGAGAACATATGGGGTTCAATAAAAAACTGAATAATTTGATAATTTTCTACAAGTTCAAGTAGTCAAATATTACGGCTATAGAAAATTGATATTCTTTGTGTGTTGCATTGAGTCTGAAGCATTAAATGCAAGCCAGTGCTTTTCATGTCTATGAGACTCACATGTAGTGCAAACCTTAATTAATAATTACATGTTACAATTTTTGTCAGGGTTTAAGTGTTAAACTTAAGAGCATTGAGGGTGTATTTAAAACTATGATGCATCGAGTTTTGTGGAAGTGCCTGTCACGTGAATTGTAGATTTATTTAATAATTGTGTAAAGTTTCTTTTGACTCCCTCATGTTTACTTCATTACTTGTCTTTACTTACATTTTAGCCCAGAATACACTACCATAAATTATTTCATAATGTTTTAATTATTTTATAAAGGCCTATGTTTTGAAGAAATATAATGTATTGGGTTAAGAATAAGTATAGTAATGGCCTACAAACCACCCTGCAAAGTACCTGTTCCCCAAAGATATAGATTTTTGGCTCTGCCCGAGCGATGTAGGCTTCCGCCGAGTATGATAGTTTCAAGTTTTGGCTCTGCGCATGCGTATGACAGATTTTATTGGCTCTGGCTGGGCATTGAGCGGTCCGCCAGGTATGACAGTTTCAATGGCTCTGCACGCGCAATAATAAATCTTGCTGGGTATGACAGGTACATCCCTTGCTCTGCCTACGTGCGGGACGTCCACCAGGTAAAACAGATTTTCCCTAGGGTACTAGTTGTGGTGAGAGTTTTCTGTTATTAATATCAGAATCAGTTTTAGAATATTCAAAATCACATTCAGTTTTTAGTATCTACTATGAGCGATAGTCTCAATATGAGTTTTTAGAATAATTAAGAGAGCTTTCAGTATTAGCCACAGTTTCAGAATAAGATATCAGCTTATAATTTTCAATATCAGTAAAAGCTATAGTATTCAGTTTAAAGTTCAGTTATCAGCATAAAGTTTACAGTATTCCAAAATCATTTATCAGTGCATAGTTTCAAAAAAATCAGCTTTCAATTTTATATCATCACAATAGTTATAAATTTAGTTACCAGATTTTGTTTTGTGAATCATGAGTGTTCATTGAATGATGGTTTGGATGTAAGCAGCATGACTAGTAGAGTTATTATTTTCAAAATCATATGCATTCTTGAGTGATGACAAAGATGGTTGCAACATGACTTAAAGGAAAAATTGTTCCCAGAAGCATAAGCACTTACAGTTATGTTTTAAGTTTTAGAAAAAGAATTTTAAGCATTCAATGATGAGCTATAATTCAGAATTTGTTTTCAGCTTAAATTACAGTACTTAGAACAATTTTAGAAAACGAGTTATACATGCATACAGGAATGATTTAGTTACTTCCATAACACGTTCATAGAATCATGTTGTTTTCAGGATTTCATAAGAACTATTGCATGCCATGACTATTGTTTGAAGAATGTTTTGCAAACTCTCCCCAATCCCCCACTCACTGAGTATTTCAGCTCACCCCTTTTTAGACCCTTTTCCCCAGGTTCACAGGAAGAGTCGTGCTGAGGAGTGATTCCTCTTAAGGTTGGGCCCATACGTCATCGACTCATCGTGTGTGTAAAAATGTCATCTTTGTTCCCGCTACAGAATTATGTTTTATCCCTATGTCTATCTCTTGTGTTGATTATAAAAGATATGAAGATCTGATACCATTCTTTTTTTTGTATTTTATGAACGTACGAGTTAGCTTTTAGATTTTCAAATGCATATATATATATGATTTCAAAACGATTCCAAGCGAATGTTTTTATGAAAAGCGTATTCAGAATACAGGTTTTTAGATTCCCACACGGCACGTCTCAGTCGCCCGAGTCTCATAGGTGTGCCCGGAGCTTATGGGATAGAGAGGGTCGAGGCGGGTCGTGTCAAAAACAAATACTAAACTAATATAAAACAAATGCATCCTAAAACATAAACCAAATGAGGGACCTAAACCAAATCAGCGTGCTGCATTGTTTGGGTTACCTCTTAACAAATCATTCAGATCTGGCGGCGTGGGGTTGGAGAAGGGTGGTTGATTGTGGGTTAATGAAGTAGTTAAACAACGTTGTTGATGCTTAAAGAATGTAGTGGCTTCGGGTTCGATGAGCTCTTGTCGACGATGGTGGTGGAACTGGTGCTCGTTAGAGAAGCTGTTGGACTCGGGTTGGGGGAGGTTTTACCAACGATGGTGCTAGATCTGGGCTTGTGTGCGTCGGTGGTGGGGCTCAAAGGAGGTGGCGCTCGAAGATGGTGGGCTCAGGTTGGAGAAGAAAACCTTTTTGCTAGTGGATCTGAAGTCCTGTCAACGTCGGAGGTGGCGCTCAAAGGTGGTGGTGATCGAAGGTGGTGGATGATGATGGTGAAATGATTTGCTTTGGGTTCTTAGTTTGTGACTATGGTGTGGCAATGTTATCTGTAATTGTTTCTTTTTTCCTCAGTAGATCGTGAATGTGTTTATGTCCAGTCGGGGGGTGCTTTGGATATGGGCTGGTGTTTGTTGTTGGTAGGCTGGGTGTGTGGATTTTGGCTCCAATTTTTCGATCTATCGAAGTTGGCAGTGGGGTGTTTTGTTGTTGTCTTCTTCCACTAGTGGTTGTTTTTTTCTACTAAATATCGTTGTAGCCTGTAGGAGGAGTTTCAGGTTCTTTGGGTGTTGAGTTTGAATGCAAGTGGAAGATGGTCTAGCTTTGGTTGTAACGTGGAAGATGGTGACTGTTGGGGATGACGATCCTGATTTCCTGACGCCGATGGTGGTTTCAAGTTAAGGGTGGGTTTCTAAATGCCTTAAAATGTGTTAGCGTGGTGGGTTTTTGAATGCCTTAAAATGTGTTAGCATAGTGAAGGAAGAAGAAGAAAATAAGGAAGAGAGAGGAAAAGTAGAAAAAAAAAAATACAGCTGCTGAGCTCTTGTCAGAATGGTCATTTTGTGCGTTACGAATCAAATTTTTAGAATTTGATTCTCTAAGCACTGAAACAAACGTTTTTTTGGCTAAAACCAATTCCAAATACAAATAGGGAACCAAACGCAAGTGTCAAAGTGATGGTATACTGTAAAGTAGAATACAGATAAATATTTCGCATTTATAATAAGATAATGAAAATAAATATATTGTTATTTTCAGATACTATGTTTAAAAATAAAAATACATACATACATTTCTCAAACTATAAGAACACAAGAACATTATGTTCAACGTTGGAAGCTTTCTTTCTAAAGCAACAGCTTTGGAACTTCAAAACCTCAACATGCAAATTCTTAATATTCTGCGTACTCTGTAGATATGAAACAAATACCATATTCAAAGCAGTCCAAGTCCAAGTGATCCGGAGCTTGGTCTTGGCTAGCTTGAAGAAGGGAACGGAAGTGGATCAGCACCCTGATCCTTAGACTCCCCAGAGCCACTGGAATCTTCAATGAGCTTGGAAGCAGCATCAGACAAATCCTTTGAGTACTTATCCCGCTTCAGAATCATCCGCGCCAGAAGTAGAGCCTTTTGTTCAGACCTAGAAGCTTTTTGCTCTGAAGCAATAGCTTGGTTCTTCGAAACCTCATTCTCTGCTTCATTACGGATCAGTTCAGCCTCCAGGAAAAGAGCCTTCTGTTCGGAGCTGGAAGCTTTTTGCTCTGAAGCAATAGCTTGGTTCTTCAAAGCCTCATTCTCTGCCTGCTTCTTGATCAGTTCAGCCTCCAGGGATTCAACTCTGGAGTTATGATCCACCTCAGATGATTCATAACTCTTCAGCTTTGCCTCTGCTTCTGCTAACTTACTAGAACATAAGGCAACCTCAGCGCTCAGACTGGACATAATGACCTCAGTGCGGGACTTGGTGGCCTCCGCAGCCTTAGCAGTTTCAGAATCCTCCACTTGTTGATTGTCCGCAGCATTAGCAGTTTCAGAGTTATCTACAGCCCTATGAAAATTAACCTCAGCTTCAACTATCAGAGTATCATTCACAAGATACCCTCTGTTAGGATCATAGAGTTCACCAAGGGGCATAAAGGATGTGAAACCCCAATCACTTTCTCGTGCATTGAACTGGTGTTGAGTATCTGACAAGTTCAAATGGTAAAGTTATCACATATTTCACAAGAGTGCCTAGCATCATGCTAAACACATCTTTTGAAACTAAAGATTTGAACACCATCTTGTGGTGGAACAGTCCAACCACTAAAAATAAAATTCATACAATTCACAAGGTCCAAATTGCATAGCTAAGAAAACAGACAAACCAAATGAGATACGTGGCTGCAACAAACAGATGTTAACACGAAACAGAAGACATGAGAAAGCTGGAAGCACACATTCAGCAATGAAAGCCCATGCTTCCCAATCCCAAGCGGCTCTTAATGCCCATTTCAGAAAAATGACGTTCAATACAAAAGTTCAATCCATTGCAACACCAATATTCTGTCAAAGATTAACTTTTTCCTGCCACAAAAGAGTTCATATGGTAACTTAACATTTATTTTTTATTTTTTTCCTTTTTAATCAATGACAAGAAAAGAATGTATATTAATATCAGCTTGAAAAAGCTTTACCAGGGTAAAGTGGACATATATCCTCAAAAAAGAACCAAAAAAATAGGGGGCAACAAAAAGACTACAGAAAACAGCCCACGGCTTCCAAAAACTGTTATAAAGCGCAAAAAACAATCCCATTTTTTTTATACAACCAGAACCAAAGCTACATAATAAAGCTTCCAAAACCCCTTCACAATTTAGGATAAATGAAGAAAAAGAAGTAAAATGAAAGAAACAAATACTCTCTGATGAACAATCCTCAGGAATTTCAACAAAACTAAAAAGCCATTACTATAATTCACATGGACACTGTTGTAAGGCATCATACAATGATTTGTGTGCAGGACACAAACAAGCAGCACCCTTCTGTCCATTCCATGCATTTCAAACATTTTGCCAGGCGAACACATATTGCAGCAGTCTTAAAAGCAAAGAAAGCCTTTAGTCTTTTGTTATCATTGGCTGATTAGCACATTTAAAAGTGATGAGATACATATTCAAAGGAAGAAAGAATGACAGAGAACCTAAAAGATGAGTTTTTTTCTCAGCATATATCATCAAAAATAGTGAATCAGGAAAACATACTTATCAAAGTCGTGGTTCTATCTAATATTTGGGGTGTGAAGAAGCAATAAACGTCGCATATGCTTGTAATTCCTACATAATAAAGAAAAACCCAACTTATCATAACACCCCACAAATGCAACATGGTCACAGTTGAAAGTCCGATCTACTAAAGAAAATACTTCTGAACCAGTCAATCTCATTCAGTGAACTCCCCAAGTTTTACCAAACACAGAATTTTTTTTCCTTCAAAAAGCAGAGCCTAAAATACAATTCAAAGCTCAGAACAAGAGACACTAATGAAATTTAGAATTGAAAAGCACACTATGGCTTATCAGTACTCAAATAAGCATATATGGTTCAAGGATGAATTATGTTCAAACTTTGGATTAAAAATTTATAGAAAATAAACTAGGGGGGATAATTGTTGTTTCTACAAAATAACACAAAGATAATTAAGCAGGATAAAATTCCATTAAAAAATAAAGAAGGAAAGAAAATGTCAGACTTATCCAACCCTAGAGAGAACCCAAAAATGGACATCAAATGTTGTATCACCTAACATGGGTTTCAGCAGCATACTCCAGAAAGGCTCAAAAGAAAAATGTAAATCTAAATGGCCATATACTATTTCCACTAATAATGGTTTATATGAAAAAAAAAAAAAAAAAAAAAAAAAAAAAAAAAAAAAAAAGGATGAAAAAATATGAATAAATAAATAAGAGCTCTTATCAATAATTGTAAGAACAGTTCTAACCACACAGAATTTTTATATATTCACATATGTAATTTTTTTATTTTTCTTTCCTTACTTTCCATGGTTCTACAAGCAAACAAGCATAATTTGACATATATTATAAAATGTAAATGCAGTGCATAAACATGCATGTGTAAAGATTTTTAAGAGTTTTTAATATCCCAAAACACCCCGTATCCATGTAGCATGCCAATTGTGTCTTTATTAATGAATGATAAAGAAATGTCCAAAAAACCACTGACACGTCCTAATTACAGTGGTTCCAGAAATGCAAATACAAGGATTCCAAGAAATTCATTCCCAAACCTTCTCCTTCTTTATTTTCTTCAAACCCTAAGTTATTCCTTTCATATGTGTTTGGCACATCAATTCCCCTGAAATTGCAGACCCCTCAACTCCAATCTAACAAATACAAACACATACATAAAGATATTAATGGTTTGAATTATGAAACAAGCTACACTACTCATGCTTGGCAATAGAACCCAATCGAACTTTCATTCGTTAAAAATTTGCCGAAAAATACCGACTTTCATATAAAGATGGTACCTTTTCTCACCGAGTACTTGGTATGAATTTGATTAATCACCACCAAGCTAAACTGCGCATATCTACTCCACCCATATGGCAAACTTCCTGAATCAGCAACATCTAGATACAAAGACAAGTGATCCACATTGTTCCCCTTTGGAAAAATAAGCACACGCCTGCCAGTGCAAAGCAGAAAAGAAAAAGCATATAAGAAACACTATTGGCCACCAATGCTTCTTCACAAAATAACCGAAAAGAAAGGGAGCGGTGAGTACCATTTATAACCGCCGACAATGAAAATCTCCGAGTAGTGCTTCACCGTATTCAACCTAGAAAAATTCTCGATTCTCCATGTAAATCTGGATGATAGAGGATCCTTCACTGGTTGATTCATGGTGTAAAGACTATTGGGAATTGTTCGGCGACATCCTTTCGCAGCAGAGATAATGAATTGAAACCTAAAAGAGCAATTAATTAGATTATACTTGAGAGAGAGCAAAGGAGATCACCAGAAGGTGGTCGACAGGGAGAAAGCTCTTGCTTAGTGTGGTCTTTATTTAGAAGAGTGGCGTTTACAGAAATTCAGTTTGGGTATATACAGTACAGTAAAGATCGCCGAGGAAAAAATGGGTGCAAATTGATATTATAATAAAATATTATGTATGTACATGCACACAATCTTATTAAAATTTGAAAGGCAAGAAAATAAAAATCCCAGCAGAAGAAAATGAACAAATAATGTATCTCAACAATATATGATAATTGTTTCAATTAATAAAACAAACATATATAAGAGAGTATTTGGCTACTTACAATTTCAAACTGAAGATCCAACCTTCAGAATTTCTGCTGCTGCATTACATTCATAGAACAAATATAAAAGCTGAGTCAGTCTAATGGTTGAAGCTACAATAGCTCTATTTATTTAAATCCCAGCAAACAAATGATTCAACTTATATAGAATTTAAAATGAATTCTTGAAGAAGATGCTTAAGAATAAAGCATTAATATTCTTAAATTGACCCCAGTACAAGTAAATAGATATAATATTCTTAAATTGACCCCAACACAAGTAAATAGATCTATATCTAAACTAAAGGTAAATATTCCTAAAGACTAAAGCAATTAATTAAATTCCTAGCAAGAAGAAAAGTATATAGTATTCTTAAACCTCTTCTCAACCAAAACATCTATTATAGATCATGAAAGAAAACACATGTCATCGGGATAACTCTTTTAACATTTTGGTAACAATAAATGATAGAAATCTATATGTGCTTTTTGTAGGACACAAATGCGGCCTGTATTAAAGTGAATACAAGTAGGAGAAGAATGACAGCAAAAATGATACAAATGGCAGTCCATGGAGTTCTCAAAATATCTTGTTTCAAATTTCCCTTCCACTTGTTCGAAGGTCTTCTGCAATAAGCATTCAGATCTTCAACAAGAGAAGAAAACCGGAAATAATAAGAATCAAAAGTAGACTATTCCACAAGTTTATGAAAAAGAGTTGACACTCATTCACTATCCCCAAGTAGATTTTCAATAATTTCTTGTCAAACAAGCAATTCCACATCCTTGGGAGGGTTAACAAGATAATTCATGAAGATAACATAGTCACATAAGAGATTATCATCACACTGACTTTGCTTGAACGCCAAAATGTTTATTATTAAGTGCTAGAGTCTCACACCGACTAGGTACGCTCAAGCCCACTGATTTATAAGAGAGAATAATCCTCCCATTCAACAAGACCTTATTAGATAAGGAGTCAAACTCACCTCAAATTCTATATGATATCAGAGCTAGGCCCTCCATCAATAAGCATGACTCAACACATGGGCTTGACCTTGAGAGGGAGAGTTGGAGTCCCATACCAACTAGGCACACTCAAACCTATTGGTAGACAGGCCCACCTCAAATTCTATCACATATTCATTGGACTTTATACACTTTCATGGAATTTCCAATATTCCATCACTGAATTTATTAATTTATTTTTACTTTTTTCTAACAAATTTTTAATAAGTATTTACTGAAATTTAATTATTCATTTAAAAACTTAATTTCAACGTAAATTTAAATTTGTGATTAAAAAATTAAAAATTAATGGAAAAGAAGCATTTATCAACACTAAGAATATTAAAAAGAATTAAAAAAAAAAATGTAAGCCATGATATTTTGGACTTTTTCTTGAGCACAACCATAATCTTTTCTAATTTTAGTCCCCTCCTTATGTTTGGCTCTTCTTTTTAGAGAACAAGACTGTACTAAAATTAGTCCCCACCTATTTTATCAATAAACCCCATTATTGATTTAAAAGGGAGGTGTAATTTTCTACAAGCACTTACAACTCAATCTCACAAACTTTATTTCACAACCCTGATGTGGCAACTCGCAAATAGATCATGTCTGCTTGTTATGGTTTCCACCTGCCCAATTGCAAGCTGGTTAATTGCAAACTACCATGTCAAGATTGTAAAAGAAAGTTTGTAAAATTGGATTGTAAGCCAATCTTTATCCATTTTACATTTGGTTTATAAACATCCAGGATTTCCAAATAGCCAAGGACCAGAATCCCAAAACAAACTTACTTTTTCATTAACCCTTGACAGAATTTGAACATTTAATTTCCCAAAATAAGTACCAATCTATTATCTCTCTAATCAAAACAAAAGGCATGTTCCTCAAAAACAAAATTGAAACCAAAAATATACTGTTAATATGTAAAAATATTCCACTACATACCCAAAAAAAAAAAAAAAAGGGGCATTCAACATCAGCAATATCTCAAGTTTCTAAAATAAAAGTTAATATCCTAAACATATCCAAAGTTCGGAAGAGCAAAATCTCTAAAACAAATTATTCAGAAGAAAGCACGAACACAAACCTTAGCCAGAAAGCTAAATTGTAACACTTAAAACCTGAGACGTTACATGCACTTGCAAAAAAATAATGAGTTGTAAATGTTACGAAACATTGCATTGCTATGAAAGCACTGAAGAAAGGAACCAAAGCTATAGTAGTCGATGCAGATACCAAAAGCAAACTCAAAAGGCATCAACTTTAATCTAATAAAACTATTTGTAACCTCAAAGAGCAAGAAGAGACACCAAGACATGAAGAAACAAGCAAGAATGAACATAAAGTTAACCAAAGTTAGGCATACCAGTTCACATCAGAAAACCCAAATGAAAGAAAATACCCACCAAAAAAGGTGAAAAAAAAAAAAAAAAACAGAAGCCAGAGCAACTGACCTTCAATGCTAGCACAGTCAAAACCTTGTGTGGCTAAAAGATCGAAACTTTCAATGACCCTCTAGTTCCTTTTCCACTAAAACCCTAGAAATGCAGCTTTGCTAAAGGAAAGAAGTTTATTTGCGTGTTGTGAAAGCAAAACACAGACCAAGGTAATATGTAAGGTCTGTTTTTTTTTTTTTTTTATGAAAATAAGAATTATTTAATATATTTTTTTAATCCGAAAATAAAAACAAAAATAATAATAATAATATATAATAATAAAAAATTATTGAAAGTTTCCACTGAAATTTACTTTTTTCCAGTGATTTTTTATTATTATTACATTTTTTAAATTTCCTTTAACCTTGTATTACAACAGTTTCTCTTTTTTTTTTTTTTTTTTTTCATAACCTTTGTTATTGCAAAGATTTTGGAAGCTAAGGGTTAACCCGACAATTAGGAAGGTTTGCTACTTTTTATATTTGAATCAGGTCATTTATCACATACATTTGTGATTTAACTGGAACATTAGATTCATAGGATGTTAAAAAAAATAAAAATTTGGAAGCTTATATGTATAAGCAAAGATTATATAAAAAAAAAAAAATTTGTAAATCATTTAATGTTATAAACTTTTTATTTAAAAAAAAATATATATTGATTAAATATTAATTCAGATTCCATAAATAATAAAATAATATTTATTTTATTTACCATCTTAATTCATCCAAAAAGAGCTTTTTATCCCTACTAAGAAAATCTTTTATGGTGCGTTTGGTTCCATATTTCTACCCATATTCCCAATCTTATTCCCCAAATATTGTTTCGCACATTATTTGAGAAATATTATTATATTTTTTAATTACTTTTAGACCCCTTAAGTTTATTAAATATCCCCAGGAAAAAAAAAATTTTAAATTAACAAAAACACCCCCATCGACCCATACTTTCTAGATTCCGACAACTACCGTCTATGGTAGCCTGAATCTGTCACAACAGCCTACACCACGACCGGAACTGGTCAGTAATTCCCTGATCTGGCCGTCAGCGAAGGCCAAAGATGGACTTTTGCATCCGTCGATGGCCACATCTGGCCATAGATCTGGCCTTTTTAGGCCAGATTCCGGATGTGGTGGTCGGAATTTGGCACTGCGGGTGATGGGGGTGTTTTTGTCATTTTATAAAATTTTTATATATTGGGGTGTTTAGTTAAATTAGCAAACTTATGGGCTTTTTTAAAAAAATTTTAATTTTAACTTGTAATACTCTCATATTCAACTACCCATTATTATTCCCAAAATCCTATCCAAAATAACTATCTAGAAAGAGTTTTTAACTTTTTATATCAAATAGAGTAACACTACAATCACTAACACTTCTTACTAACTTTCTCTCACTAATGTCACGTGTCAACTCACAATTTGTCAGTTTACATAGGTCCCGCCTGTCCAATAATGGATCCTACTTAACCAAGCCAATCACAAACTCCCGCACGGGGTTAGTGAGAGGGGTTAGTAAGAGAGGTTAGTGAGATGGGTTAGTGAGGTTAGTATTATTGTATCAAATAATATAGAGAAAATTACTTTCAACCTCCTGAGGTTTGGTCAACTTTGGAAAAACCTCTCATGTCGTCTAATGCAAAACCCTATGCCGTCTGAGGTTAACAAAACTGACAAATTTACGCAGCTACCAAAATAGTTAAATATCATTTTTACTCTCAACTTTAACTATTTGTAAGAAAGAGATATATTACCCAAATTTGAAGGAAAAAAAAAAAAAAAAAAAGGTTTTACCAACCCCCAAGGGACTGGCTTGACGGTTGACGGTCAAAGAAGTTTATTCACTTCCTTTGAATTTTGGATTTAAACCTTAGGATCATCTACCATAATAACATTGTGGTTCATTTGATCTCTTAAAGTTATACCTTATGTTGTTTAATGGATCACGTCATTAATGGTATTTGAGGGGGGTTTTTCTAGGTTTGACCAAACCTCAAGGGTTAATTTTTCTTTTTTTCTGAAATTGAATGTTAGATAGAGCAATATTTGATTGTAAGCAAAACATTATCATGATATTAATAATTATTAAGTGCAAAAACTATTTTTCATGAATGGATTGAATTGTGCTACTACATACTCCCATAAGACTTTCTCAGGAAACAAACACGCTTAATAACACCACCACTGTAATATTAGAAGCTTACATAATAATTTTCAGGCAATAAACCTGAAATATAAACATGTTAAACACACACCATGCACACTAAAAAAACATTGAAAGTTCAGAATTTCTAATATATACAATCATCTCTCAGAGAACTGAATCAAATCAGGGAGCTTGGTTTTGATTGTTCTGCTCGTTGATCGAAGACAGGTACATCAACAGCTGGGCACCTCGCCCTTCAAACGCCGACGACCCCATGAACTCTTCCATGGCTTTGGCAGCTGCAGCCGACATTTCCCGGGAGCTCTTCTCCCAGTTCGCAATCTTCTTCACAAGAGACAGCGCCTTGTTCTCCGAGTTCCAAACCTTCTGCTCCGAATCAACCGCCTGGTTCTGCAGAGCCTCAACCTCCGCCTGCCTCCTCATCAACTCCGTCTCCAGGAGTTCAACTCTCGCCCTCAGGTGCCCCTGGGAAGCCTCGCTTTTCTTTAGTTTCTCGTCGAAGCCCGCCCG